AGGTATGGGAGTGTATTGAGTTCACCCAGGAGAAATAGGGTTGCTGTTAAATTTGGCTCATTGTTAAAATAATGCCCATCTAGTTGAATGCTTACAATGCCCAGTGAAGCATTTTGTAAACATTCTGTCTCTCACAAAGCCCCTATAGAGTAGGTAGTTTTGATCCTAGTCAAATGGAGGAGGAACATCTAAGAAGTTAAGTGTCTCGCCTACGGTTCCGCACCTACCGGTAGCATTGCCAGGCTGTGAATTCAGGTCTGTCAGATCAGTAGTTCTTAATCTCTTTTTTCCTCCCCCCAGATTTCAAGAAAGGAGTATGGACCCTCTCTGCCAGAGGCACAGACACACCACATTTTATGTTCCGTCTCCAGGACTTCACAAATCTGAAGCCCATCCTCCGTGGCCCAGGGAAAGAAGAAAGCCCAAGATGAAATCCTGGAGAGCGTATTTTTGGTGAAGACAGAGGATGAGGTTGAAATGGTTTTGTTACAAGTTTAGACAGTTGACTCCATTGTAATTAACCCCACCAACCCACTCAGGTAATGTTTGCTTTTAATTTTTTTCCTCCTTCTTCTTTCTTCGGGATAATCGGAACAACAGGTATTAGCTGAGTGAAAAAGTTAGAACTTGGGCAGGGAAATTGCCCAGCAGTTAAAGCATATGAGGGTATGGCTAAGTCATTAATGATGGCCTCGATTGGGACATTCAAGGAACAGAACCAGAAGCTGCCCTGCAGAATCTTTGCAGACACTCTCAAGACATTTTTTTTGTAATTACCCTTCTGGTAAGTCTTATGATCCTCCTTCCGGGTAATTTGTCTATGATGAGACAAGGTACATGGTTTATTCACCGTCACAGAGCTAAGTCCACGTTCAGTTCAGTATGGCCGTTACTGGAAGTGGGGCTAACAGAGGCAGATCCAGGTTACAGAGTTATGATGGTGGCATAGCACTTCTAGGGACAGGTCAGGGAACAGAGGAATAGGATACTAGGGGTTGGAGTAGAATATCAGGTTTCAGTTTGAACCACAGAGCTGTTCAGAGGTGCTTGAGATCCCTGGGTCCTGGGTGAGACCATGGCAGAGGTTGGAAGTGGCCTGGGGGGCGAGAACACTGAAGTTCAGGGTAAGGAGCTGTGAGGCGTGGCTTTCTGTGTAGGTTGCCAGTTTCCAAGTGGTTGCAGTTGAGAGGAAGACAGAGCCAGCTGCTTGGTCTGGTGTGAAGAGGATGGAGCGGCTTGGAGGTCTGGCGGCAGTGAGCACAGAGAATTGGTGGTATTGGTGGGTGGTGATCGGCTTCAAAGAGAAGGCATTTTGAATGAGGGTGGAAATCCTATGGCCAGGAGACAGCAGTGCAGACTAGGAAAGTGTGGACTTCATGTTGGCCCCACGTTCCTGAGGTATATTTGAATGAACAGCCTCTAACCCAGAGGAGGACGGAGTTTCAGTAGCCTTGATACTCTGGTAAACTCCTTAAGGAGGTTGGTAAGGTTGTCAGGACGCCACCTAGTGGCAGTCTTGACTAAAGCGGTCACTTCCCTGAGGCCGCCTCGGGATTTCTAGAAGCTAGATGGAGGCCAATGGTTCACTGGCAGATTGCCCCTTTTACTTAAGCTCACAACCAATCTGTACACGAAAATTATGCTAGACCTTTGTGAGTGACAAACGGTGATCCTCCCCCTGGACCAAACCGCTACAATTCTTACTGTCTACTGTCTTTTGTAGGTCTTCAGAAACACAAAGACTAAAGCACGCCTGGGGCTCTATGCCTCTGAAACCCACCTTAGTCCACATTCAAGTTTGTCACGTTTTTCCAGATAGGGATTTAACTTTACTCCCCCATTGCCATTGTGGCGGTGGCAGGTTGCTACAATTTGTAGTTTGTACAGCATCAGGAAGGTGAGAGATTATCGTAGTCCCCCTCCTTTCTTCCTCCTAATCTTGAAGCAACAATAAGATTTCAGTGATCAGCCATTAATCCTCTTTAAAAGCCAGGTTAAAAACAGCACCAAGGATTAATCCAAAATTAGGCAGTTTGCTAATGATCAGTAACCTGCTGATCAATTAATACTAACACTCGGTCAGGCTACTACAGGACTAAAGGTGTTCCATCATAAAATGGGTACAGAATGGGGCGGTGGGGGTGGTAATGCAGGGGCAGCAAACTCGAGTGCCGGTGGGCCCGGCAGGTAGTAGAAGGTAACAGGGCCCTGCTGGAGAACCCGTGCTAGCTGGGTAGCTTGATGGGGAAAGTGAGCCCAGAGAGTTAGCCTCATCTGTCCATTTTTCCACAGAAGCTGGATAAGTGACCTTTGAATTGTGCTTTCAGTTTTTAGAAGGTGACCATAAATGAATTTCCATCTTGAAAACTAACTGGGGGTGGCGGGGGAGGGTCGCAGGCGTGGCAGTGCTGCAGCTCGTAGGTGACCAGTCTCCAACTTTGTTTCATGAGGAAGCATCCTTTGCCATCCTGACTGGCTTTTTTGGCCTTTTGAGCTTTTTTGATCCCTACCTGTGGGAAACATGGGCCTGGACCTAAAATGTCTCTGACAAGCCTTTTATTGGGTTTAAAATACTCTGCCTGTCCATAAAGCAGACGCTAGCATTCCATAATAACGTAACAAATGTTAAGTTTGTTAAAAACATCAGTTTAATCTCGATCAAATGCAAGAAACTCAGTTTTCAGCTTATTCTATAAAAGTTGGCTGAGGTGGCCCAGTTTATCGTATGTGACAGTATTCTACTAACGCTCAGTGTACAATGAAAAAGAAATCTTTTAGTATATTGCTTCAGTGTTCAGTGTGTTAGTGTTTTCACACAGAAAACTGCATGAGCCTAATTGCTCCCCGGCTCTGCAGATGAGGGGGAGAGGCTCCCAGAGATGAAGTCCTTTCTCCCTGCATCAGGCAGCTAGTGTGAGGAGAGCTGGGACCAGAATTTGGTTTTTCTGGCTTTAGTGTCAGTGTCAGTGCTATTTCTCCCATACTATATGGCCTCATTTAAAAAGAGATCTGTCGGATTCTAACTTTGTTTTCACCTCCAAACCAATACTTCCAGGCTAACAGTGTTCCCCTGGGATTTGTAACTGCATAGAATAACTTAACATGTAACAAAAGCTCCATTTTGTATTAAAAACTACATTTGCATAGTATTAAATGTGGAAAGCATGAAAACGTTGACAGTAGCTGTCCCTGCTGAGTGGGACTATGAGGCCGTCCACCTTACGTAGTATCTTGAATTTCTTTTGCAATAAGCATACATTCTTTTCCAGGGAAAAAATTGACTCCCTCACCTCAAAACTGTATTGTTTCCCTCATAAGTTATCAGCTTCTGGAGTTTTCAATTTCCCTATCTTGAACTCGGAACGGATAGCACTTGTTTCTTTTGGCTTCCCTTACCTATCACTCTCGCCTACTAATTTTAGACAGTTGGGCTGAAATGGTGAAAGAAAAATAAAATCAAGTACATTTTAAGCAAGCAGAGGGGAAAAAAAAAAAAAGTGTTTTGAGAATTCCCTGTCTAGACCAGGAGTTAGTCTAAGCCTCGAATGAAAAGCCAGAATTGCTCTGTGATCACATCCGTCCCGGCGGTCTTAGAGGTGGGAGCCCAGGGAAAGGGCTATTTTAAGAAACTGACGTTTCAATCCTACTTTTTTCCCTTTAGCATGAACTGCAATGAGTCAATTTGCTAAGAAGAGAATTCTCATTTTTAAACGGACCCAAGGAACACAGTGAGTTCTTAATGACTACATGCTGGATTTAAAATTGCCCTGATTTTCAGCATCATGGGTTTAGAATACTTATATTCACATTTTCCTCAAGAAATTATAGTGATTATTGGTAAGGTTTTCTAAATAAGCATTTTTGGGGATCTGTATGTGGATAGTCTCCCATGCTTAAGGCATATGCAGCATTGACTAGCCTGCCATTCACCATGGCGCCCTCAGGAGAGCGCTGTCACCCCCGCAGCACCACACTGTCCCCAGTGCGGTCATGAACTGTCGTTAGCAATCGTGCTTTGATTTCCCAACCTTCGTTATTTCTAGTTTACATACGTTTTTTATCATGAATGAATGTTGAATTGTATCACATTTTCCATCGATTTGAGAGGTTTTCTTCTCTAATGTTAATGAATCATTCCGATCGGCCCATAAGTAAAACAGCATGTAAACTACAAAAGCAAACTTCTGTCCCCTTCCTTTTACAGTACAGTGCCATTTCCCATTCTCTTTTTAACTCAGCTCTACCCAAACGGCTTTGTCAGAGTCAGCATCCAAAAAGCTTGGGGGTCATCCCAGACTTCTCCTCACCCTCCCTCCCCCCCCCATTCTAATCTTTCAGCAGTCGGCTGCCTGCCCCATCCCCACCACCATCAATCAGGCATCCCCTCCAGTCGGTGACACGTCAAAGGCGGCCATTCCTTGGCTTATAAACCTCCAGTGACTTTCCCTTTCTTTGCCCAGATAGTTGCATGTTCCTCCTCTATTTAAATGTCACCTTAGCAGAGGCTTTCTGTGATACCCCATGGGAGAGCTCTTCACACCCTACCTCACTCGTCTCCTTTATCCAGTTTTAGATTTCTTTTTTCCTAGCACTTAGCCCCATCTGACTCACCGAGCTTATAATTAAGAGAAAAACAAGGAACTTTGTTTTCCTTACTGTAGTTCTATTTGCTGGGGGGAAAAGAACCCATTGCCAATATCGACATAGGTTTTTTTGTTTGTTTTTAATCAATGTTTGGTGACATTGGCAGATTCTGGAATCCAGGGTTATGGTTGCCTCCTCAAAAGTACTGTTTAGGTATGGGCTACTCTATGGCATGTACTCTTTCAAAATTCAGGAGACTTGGGTAAGACATGAAGGGTTTGTATTATCCCTACTGATTTGAACTCAGGCACTGCAGTCTCAGATTACAGTCTCAAATGACATAAAATGACATTATTTTAACATTACTGGTACCTATCCTTAAAAGGTGTATATATTAAGAAAAGTAAAATGAAACAGAAACAACAATGCAGTATTTATTTTATACAGTTGAACTGGGTACATAGTAAAGTAAGCTATAAAAATTCCAAATAGTTATCTCTAAAGGAAATCCTTTGTTTACATGGTTTTACATATTAATTACTCTGGAAAGTTTCTGAACTCTGTTTAGTAGTAGATCTCCTTTCTTGATAGTTTCTTGGTACTGCCAGTTCTTGCTATCAGGCCTATAAATAAATTCAAGAAAAAAAATGAATTCTTTACCAGTCACATTACTCCATAACAAGAGTCAACCTACTTTTAAAAGAATGCCCCTTATTCTACACACAAATGACGTACAAACTTAGCAGTACCTGTTGGTCTCCACTATTTCATTTACTTTATCTATTTTGCAGTGTAGTCTCCCTGCAGCAATAAATCTGGACAGCTCCCTACAATTAAGAGGGGGGGGGGAAAAGGGCATTAGAGTAGGAGCCTTATACAAAATTCTTAAAACTGCCCTAAATACACACACACTTCCACTGCCTCTCAAGGTAACATTCAGTAGGCTTCCCGCCTGTGCTCTTGACTATGCAGCAGCTGGGAAGATCGTCGGGGGCATACTGCAGGATCATCCCAGAAGATTAAATCACTTACTGGAATAAACGGCAAATTCATATTGAGTGTATCAAAGAATGAAATCATTCAGAAGCACATTTTCAAAGCTTCAGAGAAAAACTTGGAGGCAGGAAAATAAGGAAATAATGAAACAAGAGCAGATGATGCTCAGGATTTTCAAAATTAAGACTGAAGAATGTGCCACAATAAATAAGGATCAGGAATGCACAGCTGATATTAATCTGTTGTGAAAAAGTATTTCTGAATATCTATGTACAGCCATAACCCAAACCTCAAAATTAAGATAAGCAGAACATGCTTACACATAAATCTCAATAAGCATGAGTAATGAAACACTGTCTACCAACAAAGAGGAAAAAAGTAAATGCTTAAAAATGTACAAGAGGTATGTGAAGACTTTACATGGAAAGATGACTGCTTTAAAATAAAAATCTACTTGTAATAGAATTGTTAAATTTAAATAAAAATCATACGACCAGTTACTCTCCCAGATACTAAAACATCTTGATCCTAGCACATAAACAACAAAAAAAGAGACTCTAACTCCTAAAATTTCTAACAAAAGTGCCATTTGAAATCCATGGGAAAGGGCTGCTTTGAGACAAATCCTAGAAAAAAACCTGATAAACGTGGTTAAGTACAGAGAATGTTCACACAGGACAATACCAGCAAAACCAAGTCACGAACTAAACGACAACGTGGACAGATGTTTGCACTATAAACTGGGGAAAACACCGACAAATCAGACAAATGGCTCATTAAAAACAGAGGCAAAGTACATACACAAAAAAGATCAATTTTACTCATTAAAAATGCAAATTAAAGCTGTAGTGAAATGCCATCATTCTAGGGAGAACAAAGCATAATGGAATGTTGAAGGTCAGAGACAACCACCATGTCTCACACTTAGTGATATAATTAAATGAGAAAGGGTGTTACTTGGATTTGTGCTTTAAAAGTGTCAAGTATCATAACTAATTGCCCCAGGACCCACTATGCCTTCTGTACTAGTTGTGTCCAAAAATAAAAAAAAAAATCTATGAAAAGGAACTAATTCTTAATGCTTTCTCATTCTTAATACCAAGATGAAATGTTTTTAATAAGGAAATGTACAATTTTGGAAAACCTGGTTATGAGCTTCAAAAAGCCTGAAAGACAAAAAAGTTACTGCTATTGGAAAATCTTAAGCTGGAGGTCATCCTAAACTAGCAAGCACTGTTGACAGTTACAGAGCATGCTTTATTTCTCTACTCTCCATCAAAATATATCTTGATCCAGTTGCTACAGTGTCCAGTCTTTTCCAACTGTTTGAGTTCTTTTACTGAGTGGCCTTCTACACTTGGGTTCATTTTCCAGACACTTAAATAGTTCCATCTCCACAGGGAACCCATTTGCAACTATTATTCCGGGACTGAGGTTCACAGAGAAAATCATACAAGATCTAACAGCCTTCCTAGTCCCACCCTAAACTTGAGACACGGGAAACCTCTGAAAGTGGTTCTGACTTACAAAGAAGCTCCAGGGATGCTGACTCAAGAATGCCCTCTGCTGAGGTAAGGACAGACTGCCCCATTCTAAGAGCCAGACTGTCCACACACCTGAGTGGACAGCGCGGCTGCTGCCTGTGCCGGCATCAGCGGACTTGAGGCCTTCCCGGAACCTCTGCCCAGACTACTTGAGGGGACTCCACACAAGCTGTTAATTCCTGAGCCAGGCATTTAAAGCACTGCTTATCTCAGTTCCCGCACATAGTGTCACACACTCTATCCAGTACAACTAGGCTACCCGTTTCAAAAACATGTATCTGTGCTATTTCTTCCAGTGGGAAAGCACTTTTTTCCTTAGCTTACAAAAAATCTTAAAAAAGCAGTGACATCCAGTCTACAGGTCCACCAGAAGGCATCTGTGGATGTATCCATTTCTCAGGCACTTCAATAGGTATGCTCCTTCTGAAACTATATGCATCAAGAATAATCTGGGCACAGCTTCCTTTCTGGTTACAACAACAAAATTTAACTCCAAATGTCCTCTGTTTCAAGTCCCATTCCTGCCTTTAGAGCCAAACCACTTGTCATCTCCCTCTGTGCCAATCAAACACATCCCAGGATGACGGTACTTCTCCAAGCCCTGAGCGTGGTGGCTCATACACAGAAGGTATGCAGTAATGATGACCCGAGTATTTACTGAACAAACAACCTACCAATCAGATTTGCATCCCTTGTTTCAAACAGAAGACCTACCAACAAAGTTGTGTAACACAGTGCCTGGGTTTCTAACCTTAAACCTCTCAACAGTAGTGTTTCCTCAAATAACGGCCCCTTCCTATTCTCCCGACAATATCTTACTAAGTCCAAGGAAGTAGAGAAGTGGAAGAATGGTGTAGAATTATGTTCAACTTACCAAATCAGACCCTCCTTAAAAAAGGATTTCACCTAAAATGATTTTTATAAGGGAGGAAAAAAAGAATCTGGGAAAACCCAGATGTGAATTGGGTATGAGAAATTTAAAACAAGATCTTAGTAGGTAACAACTAGAGCTCTATACAACTTTTGCCTTTAGAGCTGGTCTGCAAACATGAAGGAAAAAAACTGAAATACCACCTGAAATGTACCACGTCTGGAATGCAGATGTCATTGTAATGACTTACAAGAAGGCTGCAGTGTGTCTAAGTGACACGTTCCTGCTTTAGTTCATCTTACCTAAAATTTCATGTGAGCCTCAAATGGCCCCCAAGTAGTGAAAGCTGTATCACCTCCAAGGCACAGTTAAGAAACTGAGGAAGGGACAGAACCAGACCAAAGCCACGGGGCTATTCAGTGGCAGAGCTAGAACAAGGAGCCAGGCCAACCCTGTTCTTCATGCACTGCTCACCACGGTAAGCCACTCGTTCCCCTGAGTCATGAGAATCACACTCATAATGGCCATCCCAGTAACCAGCTCTCCTGGGCAGTGGTAACCAGACTTAAATTTCAAAAATTAGGTCAATTTCAACATAAAACTAACCTAGGAAGACCAGCCTTCTATTTTGGTAAGGATAATTTTTAAGATGCAAAACTATCACTGCTTGTTTTCTTTCAGAGGAAGAGAATAAGGGGATTTCTGGTGGTGACTGTGCGACAGTGCAGGTTATACATAAGATTTATATCTCTGATCAAATGTAAATATGTAAAACCTCAAAGCAAACCTATAAACAAATATTGAGATGCATGCTAAAGTGTTTAGGGATGAAATGTACTGGTGTCTGAAACTCCGGAGTGGTTAAAAAATAGAATATGTAATAAAGCAGATACAACATGTTAATTATGGAATCAATCACTTATGGGAATTCACTGTAATTCCTTAAAATTTCCTACGTTTGAAATTTTTCATAATAAATTAGAAAAATCAAACCCCTAAAAAGAGCATTTTTTTTTCTAAATGAACTATACCATCAATGAACTTTACCAAATGACCATCTTTTTCATTTTGGGCCACTGAAAACTACCACCAGCACTTAACAGATCTGTCTTTGGGAACCACGGGATCCAGATACCATAAGGAAAGCACATTCTCTGTGTACGTCTTCCACACTCCACTCCCACCACCCTAGTCCAGGCCACCGTAATAGCTGCTCCATGAGCTCCTGTATTCAACAGCCTACCAAGTCTCCCTGCCCCCTCGAGGTCTGGGTAAGATAAGGTTTCATGCCTGATCACTCTCATGCTTAAAATCCTCCAATGGCTTCCCACAGGACCTAGATTAAAACCCAAGCTCCACACCATGGCCCACCAGGCCCTGCACAAACGTACGCGTGCCTGAGTCTCCCACTGCTGCCCCTCCCCCACCACTACCACTCCACTGCAGCCGCATGCATCTTTTTGTTGCATTATCTCCAGAGATTCATTTCTATCTGAAATTACCTTATGTGTTTATTTGCTTACTTGCTAATTCTCCCCATATAAAAAGCCATCAAATATTCAAGTCCATGACGACAAGGACCTTAATGCCAACCATACAGTAATGGCTTAGTATTTGATGAATCATTGATTTAAGGGCTAAAAGTCCCATCTTTAACAACTAATGTGACCACAATTGCAGCAGCAACCAAAAACAATGAAGGCATTATCAGAGAAAATATGACCTTAATGTGAAACAGAGTGGCCTCTAGGAGTCACCATTAACAGCAGTGTGGTCCACAAAGAAGGGACAGAATACTCCTGTCATAACACCTGGTCTGACTTAACCACTCTACAACTCAGTATCCCCAGCTGTTAATAAAAGGGGCACATCATGAAGGCAGATGACAGATGATTATTCTGATAATATTTAGAGAAAAATTATTTTTTATAATTGAGGGAAGCAATGTAAACGGAGAAAATGTACAAGTTGAGACATTAAATAACTGAGATATGCATTAACATATTATTTATACTTACTGATCAATGAATTCCACACCAACACCAAAGGCTTCTGCCATATAGCCAAGAGTTAATGACCTATAGGATTCCAGCAGCTGGCTGTATGCATGAATTCTCATTTCTCTTACATAGTATCGATAGTGAGGAGCAAAAAGCCAGTCCTTTTTCATTTCCTGTTCCACAATAGCTGCAATGAATAAGAGGACAAATTATGAGAGCTTTTCTAAGACTGGTAAAATGTACAGAGGATATTGATCAGCAATCCACACAAATACAAATTATTTTACTAAATAACTACTATGTATCACTACTCAGAATAGTGAGGATATGGCAGTAAACCAAAAGACAAGACCCCTGCTGCCACAGAAACTAAATTTTCAAAGAGCAGCGATAAATGAATAAACAAAATACCCTTAGTAACAAATTCTGTGTTGAAAATAAGAGTGACAGGGTGACTAGGAGGCCTTCCGCTGGATTGGGGCGGACAGGGAAGACCTCTCGGAGGAGCCAGGCAAACCGCAGGAGGCACAGAGCAATGCAAATAATGCAGAAGTTGTCGTCTTCATCCGTCCGTCCGTCCCCCCGCCCCATGGGAAGAGCCAGGCTCAGCCCAGAAGAGAAAAGAGGACAGATTCAGTATAAAGCAGAAGGGGGGCTGCTACAGAGATATGGAAGGTGAGCAAGACAAAAGAATGAAAAATAGACTTGTGCCTGTGGCTTTAACAAAGAAGCTAATCCCTGGAGAATTTTTGTTTTGTTTTCTGGTTTTGGAGATTTTTTTGGAGGGGTCAGGACAAGGGAGATTCACAGTGTTCAAGTGGATTCACCTACTTTGCATCCAAGTGAAGATACCAAGGAGATATTTAAGTATGGGTCTGGCACTCACTGAAAAGTCTGGGGCTGGAAACATGAATTTGGGAATCACTGCCATCGACATATATTTGAAGATAGAATGAAGATGGAGACGGGCAATGACCAAGTCTGAGGCAGTCACTGAGAGGTCTACCGAAGGATGAGATTGTAGGTCAGGGGGAAACAAGGCTGTGTTATTGTTCAAGAGAACAAAATTGTGGCAAGATGCAAAGCTTGCTCAACATCAAAAGAGATAAGGATGAGTAAGGCTACACATGGTTTAGCAACACGGAAATCAATGGCCTTAAAATGAGATGATGCTCATTCTCACAGATAAAAGAAATGCATAAACATCAAGTCATTATGTTGTACAGCTTAAACTTAAAACAATGTTTTATGTCAGATCTCAATAAAACTGGAAAAGAAATACAGTAAGAAAATCTATGGAAGAGAATGGGAAGAAAAATGTTGGTCAGGATGGGTCACATTCATAAGCCGAACATAAAATATCTTCTTCCGTCATTCACGTGCCATTTAAAAGAAGACTCAAGAGTTCAATAAAAACTGTCCTTGGAAACAAACAAGAAATGAATAAAATATGAATATATTTTTCTCCTCTCAGACTGGCTAAGAGTGGAGGGGGGAAGGGGTGGTGGGGATGTAAATTGAGGGGCACGCCTCGCTGGCTCAGACTGTGCAACTCTTGATCTTGGGGTTATAAGTTTGAGCCCCATGATGGGTGCAGAGATTACTTAAAAATAAAATCTTTAAAAAAAAAATCGATGTAAATTAAGAGAAGTAGAAACTGCGAAACTATACATTAATCAGCACAGGGAATATAGTCAGTAATGTATTAACTTTGTATGGTGACAGATGGTAACCAGATTTATATGGGTCATTTTAAAATGTATATAAACATCAAATCACTATGTTGTACATCTGAAACTGACATTGTATGTTATACTTTAGTAAAAAAATTGCGTAAATATAAATTGGCACAATATTTCTGGAGGGCAACAGTGATCAAGATGTAATGTATTTTCACTTTGTAAAATTCACTTTCTTGGATTTTTTTTTAATGAAGCGGAAGTAGAAAAGATGAATTATAAGAGAATGTTCAAAGTTGCTCACAACAGAAGAAAACTGTAAACAGCGTAATTTTTTTTTATCAGTAGAGGATAAATTATGGCACATCCAACACACTGAAATAGAAGGTCTTCTAAAAGTATAACTAGAAGCTCCAAGGCGCTCCACCTGTTTGATTTGCCACTACATCCGCAGTGTCTGATACATGACAACTACTTAAAAATACTTACTGACTCAATGACCAACTATTTTTAGAGTCATGAAAAGATATTCGCATTATATCGTGAAGAGAAAAAAAGCCACTTAGAAAACAGCACGTAAAATACACCCACATATGTTTAATGGTGTTACGTGCTTGTCTCTCTGGATACAAATGTCCCTGAAAGACACACTTGAAACTTGATAGTGGCAGTCACCTCTAGAGAAAGGACTCTGACAGGTTAGGGAGAGCCTTTGTCTTCTTCATATGACAGTGAAATTTTTCCATGGGTATGTATAACCCTGGGTTTTTGGTATATTGTTTTCCATTTCTTAAAGTACATTTAAATGAACAAAAGGTTTGGAAAGATACATAAAATGTTAAAATGGTTATCTCTGGAAGAATTTTGTGAGTGAACATGTGTGTGTATGGATTTGGGAACAGGGCTTTCTCTTTTTATTTTAAAAACAATTGGGTATTACCTAGGATAGGATGCAGTTTCCTTTTTCAAATGAAATATTTTAAAGTACATACACTATGAATATTCAGGGAAGCAAACAGATTCACAAAACCAAATAAATCCTACATCTCAGTACACTAGAGAGAATAAAGCATATAAATGATGACTATCATCAAAGAAAATTTAACTATCCTGTTTTCTGCATTTAAAATATCTGGGAGGGGCGCCTGGGTGGCTCAGTCAGTTAAGCGTCTGCCTTCCGCTCTGGTCATGACCTCAGGGTCCTGGGATCGAGCCCCACATCGGGCGCCCTGCTCAGCGGGAAGCCTGCTTCTCTCTCTCCCACTCCCCCTGCTTGTGTTCCCTCTCTTGCTGTGTCTCTGTCAAATAAATAAAATCTTTAAAAAAAAATAAATAAAATATCTGGGAAATGTATACATTTGGTAGAGATAAGTTTCACCCACAGTGTTCAAATAAAAGATTGCCGTTAGGAATGGGGACAGGAGGAAAAGATTAATATCTAAACAATTCAGAGGTTTCCCAAAGCCATGAATTTCATTTTTTTCTCACTTTCCTCTTAAATTAATTAACGCGACAGATGTGCACAGAGCACGCAATAATGTACAGGCAATGTGCTGGTGTCAAGTTCCTTACAAAGATAAAACAAAAAACAACCTGCTCCCGATAATTCCAGTTAGTAGAAGGAACAAACAGAAAGAATCACAAAATAACATACTATTTTAATTAGCGATAGGGCATATGACCGAAAAGCACAGAAAAGAGGTTCAACATCAGAGATCAGAGAAATGCCAATCAAAACCACCAGATACCACTTACACACCCACTAAGAAGCCTATAATCAAAAAGACACAACAAGTACGGGCTGTGAGGAGACTGAAACACACACACACACACACACACACACACACTGCTGGTGGGAATGCAAAATTGTGTAACTGCTTTGGAAAACAGCTTAGCAATTCCTCAAAAAGTTAATCGAAGCGTCACTATATGACCCAGCAGCTCCACTACTAAATACACACACACAACCACACCACCCGCCCCCTCAAGAGAACTGAAACCATAGGTCTATACAAAATGTAGACAAATGTTCCTTACAGCCAAAAAGGGGAGACAACCCAGATGTCCATCAACGGATGAAGGGATTGTAAAAATGTGGTATTTCCATATAATGGAGTATCATTCAGCCATAAAACGAAATGGAGCTCTGACACATGCCACAGCACGGATGACCCATGAAAGGATGATGTTAGAGAAAAGGAACCAGGCACAGAGTGCTGCACAGATATGATGCCATTCATAGAACACACAAATCTACGGAGACAGATCAGTGGTAGCTGGGGGAGGAACAGGAAGTGACTGCTTAATGGGAACAGACTTCCTTTTGCAGTGAAGACGTTCAGGAATTAGTGATGACAACGGCACAACCTTGTCAAGATAATAAAGCCACCACATTTTACACATTTTAAACTGGTCAATTTTATGATATTTATATATCAAGTAAAAAAGGGGGCATAAAATGAGAGCTCCCCAGGAATGCAGGGAAGGGATTCATTCTGAGTGAAGAAGGGAAAGGCCCCACATTTGAACAATAATTCTGCAATACGATCTTGTGTGCAAACGCACCTGTATATACATTTGAGAAACTAAGGCCAGGCAGGTAACTTGTCACACTCCAAGGGCCCTGGTTCCCACATTACATAGGGCAAGTAGTATGAATTCTTATGAAGCAGCCTAACTTTTATGCATGGAGAAAGCACTCCATAAACACTGGGCCAAAACCCACTTCAAAAATAGACCAAGCATTGGTGAGCCTGGGGGGCTCAGTCGGTTAAGCATCTGACTCTTGATATCAGCTCAGGTCATGATGTCAGGGTGGTCGGATGGAGCCCCACATGTGATTCTCTCTCCCTCTTCCTCTGCCCTTACCCCCTGCTCTCTCTCACTCTGACATAAATACATCTTTAAAAAAATTTTTCTAAACAAACCTTTAACAGTGTAAACATCAATCTTACCTCTTGGGCCATATAAAAACAGGTCAGTCTGCTACCCCCCCTTTTTTGGGCCAAAAAATGGAGCCACACTAATCAAGGACCTGCAGCAAAGACCTGCACAGTCTGTCACATCTTAGTTATCTGCACACAGGATCAGGATTAAGACAAAGACCACTGAAATGAGCAGCTCTCTCCTTACCTAAGGACTGGAAGAAAACGGAGTACCGACACTCATAGAGTGAAAACAGGTACTGCCGGACCGCTGGAAGGCTATGAAGCACCTCGAGGATCTCGGCTCCTTTAATCACCTACAAATGAAAACACAAAAGAACACACAAATGTATGCTTTAAGGTGTATTCAGGTTAGAAAAGTGTGGAGTAATTTCTAAATACGAGTATTAAAGACTCAGGCATTACCTTTTCCCTGAGATCTGGTCTTTCTAAGGCAATCATGCTGACATAGACAGTATAAGTCACAAAGGTCTTATAATCCATAAGTTCATAGGATGTGAATGTTGAAACTGTGTCAAGGAAGAGTTCAGCTGCCTGTTTGAAATCACGAATAGCCACACAGTAAAGACCTTGATACACCTTTAGGCGGTTTCTCCTGTCCCAATCTCCTCCTTCCTCTATTAAGCTATAAATAAAAATATAGTAAGGTCACAATCTGGAAACAGACAAGGCCACTTTTTGTAAGTGTTGTGTTCTTTTCAAACAGAAAACAACTTGAATCAGAAGGCAATATTTAAAGAAAATATTTTACTAAAAAGCAAATTATTTGACCTAATTTACTAGTTGTAAATAAAATAGATAAATTTCTTACATCGGTTTCTTATTTATAGCATAATTTACAGGGAATATATCGCCATCATTAAAAAGTACCTTTTGGCCTTCTCTGTGTTTCGTGTGATGAGATCATTATCCATATAAAATAATCCAATCCTAAGAAGATAGAACACAATGTCCAGTCGGTGACCCAAGGCCACAGTTTTGTCATATGTCTTGCGAAAGGCTGTCAGAGCACCCTCCTGTCAAGAGAACCAAGGCAACAGATGAGGAAAAGTTAAAAGTTTCAAATGCTATCAGCTGTCTGGAATTCTCTTAACGAGGGGTAGAGGGAACAGGTAGGGATAAGATACCCATGAACTGATAACTGGTGAAGCTGGGTGATAACCGCATGCAGGGGGTTCATTATACTTTTCTCTCCACTTGTATAATGTATAAAAAATACATCAGATATGCCTAAGCATATACTTAACAGTCTAAAAAATAATGTAAGAACATTCACAATTTATTCTCAATTGTTTCAACATTCTTTGTTGTACATATTCAGCATTTTTTCCCTTAATTACAATTTATTATACCACTTTCCTGTAAATTATCACACTACTTTAAGGGTAACGGAAGCTTTACCTTAGTCACTGACCATGAGAATACAAAGGAGTATTTAAATATGTAAGTCTGTGTCAAAATATTGTGGAATAAAATGTTTCTATTGCTTTAAAGACACAAACATGAATAAAATCATTTGTCTATACTTGGTAATTCTTAGTCTGTGTCTGGGTTTATGTAATTTTAAGTTACACCTCACAAGTTAATAACGGGCTAGTAAGACAGTAATGGGCACACCTGACACTCAAATCTTGGTTTCTAAATACAACCCCCTGCCCCCCACATGCTAAAAGAAACCAAGGATCCTTGGAGAAATGGATGATTCCAGGTTTGGAGAGTAAAAATAACAGGTGAGCCTGTAACAGCTTGTTGTATGAGAAAATAAGGAAGACCAAGGAGATGTCAAAGATTTCTTGAAGGAGCTTCCACTAACATGCCTGTAACAAGATGAGTACCATAGAGAGTAATGACTGTGATCAATGATAACACAGGGAATAATAAAAATCCATTAAATAACAGTTAATAATATATTTAAAATGAAAGTAAACAGGAGAGAAAAAAAAGCTCTTTTTAGAAAAATGCTACTTAATAAACATGGAAAATGACATGAGCACATCACCAATTTATAACTCCTGATATTGACTCAAGCATGTTCTTGTTGAAATTCCTCAAATCCAGAATCAAAAGCTTTAAGTTTCTCATTCACATCTAATAACATATCCTCTTTAAAACCAAACCACATCACACAACTGAGAAAACCAAACAAACTGTTGGCTATTTTTTTAAAAAATATTTATTCATTTGAGAGAGAGAGAGCGCGCACACTCATGGAAGAGGGACAGAGGGAGAGAATCCTCAAGCAGACTCCCCGCTGAGTGCAAAGCCCGTCGTTGTGGGGCTGGATCTCAGGACCCTGAGATCATGACCGAAGCTGAAATCAAGAGTCCGACGCTCAACCAACTAAATCACTCAGGCACCCCCTATTAAGCTATTTTTAAACTGTTCTGTATTTCCCAAATTTTTACAATGACCCAATCTTATATTTACAATAAGAAAAATCTTGTTTTAAACCTAAAATGGGATGCCTGGGTGGCTCAGTCAGTTGAGGGTCTGCCTTTGGCTCAGGTCATGATCCCAGGGTCCCGCATCGGGCTCCTTGCTCAGTGGGGAGCCTGCTTCTCCCTCTGCCTGCCGCTCCCCGCTTGTGCGCTCGCTCGTGCTCTCTCTCTGGCAAATAAAATCTTTCAAAAAACAAACCTAAAATAATAATAGTTCTTATCACTAACATTTGAGCTCTCTGCCCCTATCTTTAATCCTCATTAAGCAGGAACTGTTGTTACCATATTTTACAGATGAGGAAATGGAGGGTCCAGTAAACGGTATTACTGAAACCAGAACTTTAACCCAATCTGATCCAAGAACCCATACTAATACTTTTTTATATTGATGCCATGACATCTGTCATGTAAATACTGCAGGTGCATATGCACTGCTTAAAATTAATGACATTCAAAGCCCATCCTCCTAACCACTATTAACACAACTGCTAAATTAAATTCAAAAGATGTAATACCTGTGGACATAGGTCTCATGCAGTGATAAGAAAGTATCGATCAGGTTGGCCACTACGTGGAAGAAATGACCACATATATTAAGACAAAAATCCTTCCTTGTCCCAGCAATTTCATTTCCCAGAACATACCCTAGAGAACATTAGCATATATCCACAAGGAGGCACATTGAGGCAGGTTTCTACATCAGCCGCTTGTACTAGCAAGAACAGCTGAAAACATCCATGTCCATCAACAGCTGAAGAGCTAAGTAAACTTTAGCACAGCCTTACAATGGACTAGCTAGCAGTTAACCAGAATACGTATCCCATTTATATACATTAACATGGAAAGGTCATGATGCAATGCTGAATGAAAAAGTAAACAGGACAACATGATTTCACTGTAGTCCCACTTATTAAAAAAAAAAGACAAAAAACAAAAACAACCTCTTTTAGTATTTCATTTTTTTTTTTTATCTCTACGTGGGGCTCAAATTCACGACCCCGAGACCAAGGGTCACGTGCTTCACTGACAGCCAGGTAGGTGCCCCCAAAAATCAATTTTTTAAAATATAATACTATCTAATTTACGTGCCTGTAAATATACAATAAAACAACTTAAAATGGTCACCTTTGAGAAGATAGGGAATAAAGAAAAATCAAATAGAACTTCAGCATTAACTGTAACGTTCAGTTTCTTATAAGCGGACTATTACTTGTATAAATAATTTTTTAAATTCAACAGAACCAGTGCTTTCCAACCAACGCGAGAAAAGTGCACTACTGAGAATGATCCCAATTTTGTAAGAGCAGTAAACCAACAAATCTCTGCAAGAGCCCTTAAGTTTTTATTAGCGTGGACAAAGAGAAGAATACACACACCTGGCTGGACAGGGGATAGAAAACTTTTTCTTGACTTATTTTTGTACTGATTCGCTAGGCCCGGTAAACACATTACCTTTGCGCTTGTTTTTTATTTTATTTTTTTTTAGTAATCTCTACACCCAAGGTGGGGCTCGAACTCATGACCCCAAGATCGAGAGTCACACGCTCCAATGACTGAGCCAGCCAGGCGCCCTGCGCTTGTTTTTTAAAAGAAGTGAATTTGTGAAATAGTGCCTCTCTGCGGGGGACCATCTCCACTCACCTTGTCGCCTATCCGGCACAGGTACTCGGCCTTGGCCATCATGGCATCCCGGATTTCGCTCTCTCCCAGATTCTTCTCCGCATCTTCCAGCTCCTCGTCCAAACGTTTCAACTCTTCCTCGTT